TATTATATTAAGAATTAAGATTTAAAAAAATATTTTGGAGGGAAGAAGGAGGAAACCATGAAGGCGTCTGAATGAAAACACATCAGAAGCTACAGCCAAACACCAGGAACAGGCAGCAGCTCAGTGCTCTAATGCATTTCAGAATAAGAACCATGAAAAGACTGCCTGGCTTGAAGATTTTCCAAACACATGGGTTTAGTGCTTGCAAGGGAAGAGAAAGAGGGCCTTAAAAAGAAAACGGGGTAACAATGAAGAAAGCAAAACTTTTCCTATCTAAGTAAACCCAACACAACTGACACACTGAGTTTCCTTTGTGACCAAAGAACACATAAACTAAAATTCCTTCACTACCTAAAGCTCTGCATGAACCAGTGTTGCCAAAATATTGGAGAAACAGGCTTCTCCAATACTACCACTTAGCTACTGAGCTCTCTCTCTCCCTAGAGAGCATAAAGCAAAATATTTCAGTATTTTGGACTCCCAAAAATATCCCCATGGTCACTGCTTTGGAGAGCAGGCAACATGGGGGTCAGAGACAGGGTAGTTCAAAGTCAAGAATGAGAAGGAAAGCCCGGAAACGAGCAGGTACAGAACTCATGGACAACCTGGTTACCGTTTCGTGCCTTTCAACTAGAGACAACCAAGGCACGGCTGCCTTCCCAAACAACACGAAGCGCTCTGGGAGCCTGCAGGCGACACGGTGGGATGAGAAAGAACAAGCCTCTGTGCACTCGGGGGTACCAGGGAGGGAACACACTACTGCCACCGCCACCACCAGACCCACAGTGAGCACGGGACATGGAAAGCTGAGCTTACAACTACCCACGGGAAAGCAAGTCTAGATCTAGAAAGCACAAGATGAGGGAAAAACGACTGACGGCAAACACCTGAGTGGGCAGGGAGCACTACACAGACGCAGTCACGAGGACGGCTGGGAAAGACAGAACGCTGGACAGGACGATCTGCTGCACAGAGCCAGCGTGGTGGGACTTACTCATCGTTTTACACACAGCCATACAATAATCCTCAGACTCAAAATTGTTCCTGTTGCCTCCGCAGCCGCCATATATAAAGCGCACGCACTTTCCCTTGGAGAGGTCGAAGTACCAACGGGGCATCACGGCCCGGCAGGGCCCCGTCATCGCCTCCTGGGAGCAGACAGCTGTGTGGAAACGGTCAGAATGTCAGCAGGACAGAGGTAGCAGCTTCAAACGTTTCACAACGCTACAGACCGCAAGGGCTGGGCCGGGTGAGGAGGAAGGACCGGGTGGCACTTAACATCAGTGACGGCTAAGTTTAGACCGAACTTGATGGCCCTGGCTGACGGTCTCACCAGCTCAAGCCAGTCATCTCTGACAATGCAGTCCTTTTCCATTCGGAGGCAATATAGACATTTATGAACTGAAAAAAACTTTTGTGCTGTCTTGAGTCTAGATTGATGTATAGGTCGACATAGAGAATTTCCTTATCTCATAGTTCTGTAAGCCCCACATTTCTGATCTGTTAGATGGAGATATGCGCCTGATTTGTCTGTCTCGGTGGGGTCAAGGCCCAAAGGAGAAAAGGCAGGTGAACAGGCTGTGTTAGTGGTGACGACCATAGTAACCACTACTTAAGCACCTGGAAAGGATGAATGCACATTTTTAAGTCCTCCAAGGTGAATCATAAACTTCTAGACTCATTAAGTAATTTCTTCCTAGTTGGTCCTAAATAATTCCTCAGATCTTAATTGGCTTCAAATATACAATCAGCAGGAGGCTCTGTGTAAATGGTTCTGGAACTGTTACAACTTTTCTTAAAATGCGCAAGATGAAAACACTGCGGGTCCCAATTCCTTACCAAAAGGCCATGAAATTCCACCCTCCCAGTTACAAACATCTTTCTAATGGATAAACAGGGCAGCCTACAAACTAGAACACTCAGGAAAAGAAGAACCAAGGAAGTTCTTTCCGCTCCAGAAGGTAGGGGCTTTAGCAGTATTGAGGAGGGCGGCTCCCCTTGAGGAGAGAACACTTTCAGGCTGAATGTGGAAGAAGTCTGCCCAAGGGTAGACTGTGCTGTCTCTCTTCCTTTCCACTTAGTCCTTATAATGCAAAACATAGTTGTTCTGATTAAATTCTGCATCTCTCCCTGAGCGTGACAACTGGCAGACCCTGAGGTGGCCCAGCCGCCCACTGCCAAGCTGGCACCATAGGCGTGCAGGAGAGCTGACTTCCCCTTCAGTGCACAGAAGCACCATCTCTCCTTCTGTGACTCACCTGTGATGAATGCAGTCCACAATTCTAAGTAAATAGTTACCGTACGGGTTTTACTGCCACCGCTCGACATCGGGTTACCTTTAACATCGTGAGTGACTTCCTTCTCTGAAATGGCCCCATCGCTGCTGGGTTCCGTTGGGTTCTCTTCGGTGTAGTCATCTCCTTTAAAGGTGTCATAGTAGTAATCCCGATCTTCCACCACTTCCTCCCCTTCCTCCTCGTCGTCGTCCTCATCCACAGCTGCTTCTGTGAAGTCTTCCAAATCTGCTTCGGTAGGAAACTCACTAAAGGTCACAATAAAAGAGGAAGGTTAACCAATTCCTATGCATAAAACACAGAAATGTTTCCCTTCCCTATTCTGAAACACACAAAGAGAGACAGGAAGTAAGCTCAGCTCGCATTTAACTGTGCCCCTGAGGCCCTCAGTCCAGCTACATCAGCAAATAGGAAGAGCTAATGAACAGGGACCACATGAACCTGTAGAAAATAATGCGGCCCAGAATAACATAAAGCCGAAAGCCACTGGTCCTCCCATGATCGGCTCCGGCTGGAATAAAATGCAGGCTGGCTCAGCACCAGCGTGACCAAGGCAATGCCCACTGCATCCAGAAATGAGAGGCCAGTAGCCCACAGCTACCAGTGAAATAACCTCACAGGCTCAGTACAAGAGTTCACCTTTTATAAATATCATAGTCTTCCTCTTCCTCCTCCTCATCTTCCTCCTCCTCATCTTCCTCCTCTTCTTTTGACACAGTAGATTCAAGGATCTTTGTCTGCGGGCAGCACACATATTCGGTGCCATGGAACTGATCTACTCCACAGGGGAGCAGCATGCCGTAGCTATATAAGGTCATTCCCTGAGTCAGACAGGCCTAAAAAAAAAACCCCACAGACCAACATCAGGACATACCCAATTCCCAGCTTTATCCCAAAGAAACCCTTATTAAAACACTATGCAATGCTTTCTCTCATGGACACATAGATTTTCTGTCAAAAAGTTGTGATG